TTGAATCTCCTGTAGGGTAGACACACCCAAAGCCTCGACCCATGGTTAGCAACGGATCTGGGCTTTTTATTGCCCGGTGATGGGATACTTTTACCTTACCCGTACCTCAGGTCTCTGCTCCTGTCGTCCCCAATGCTTTTGAAACTGGGATTCCAACTGATTTTTTTGAAAATTAAGAACATTAATAGTGAATAAGGCCATACCCAACTGTTGATGAGGGCTTATTTTTTGTTTGTTTGTTTTTGTAATTGAATTTTTAGGTTTTGATGGTTGTGTTTTATAATGGCTTGACCTTGGGGATTGCAGGGAATTTTTGTATTGTGTTGAATTTTCCAAAGTGAGAAGAAATGTTGTAAATTTTTACTCACAAAACATGGTTCATTATCAGTTTTAATTTTGGGGGGCAATCCCAACATAGTAAAGCACTGGAGAAAATGAGACTGAGCATGTTTAGACTTTTTTCTGTATGAGCAGTAGCCCAACAGGCATGTGAGAATGTGTCAATGGATATAAAAATATATTTAAGCTTTTCAAAAGGAGCATAGTGTGTAACATTCGTTTGTCATAAAGAATTGGGCTTGAGTCCCTGGGGTTTACCCCTGGCTGTTGCAGAGGTGGAACCTGTACACAATAAGCCATCTTGTCTGCCTGTGCATTGCCTTGGGATAAAAGCCCAGGCAATCCTTGGTGCCCCTTAAAATGCTGTAAGAAAATAGGGGCTTTTTTTTTTTTTTTTTCAAGGAGTGTACCAGTTTGAATACTGTCAGAAAATAATGGCCATGAGTTTTTTTAATTGAGTTGTTTTTTGGTTTTTTACATTCGTCTCTGGGTATAATATCAGTGCAGCTCCAAATGTGTCCCTGTTAGTGAAAACATATATAGGCTTTCACTAACTGCTCCCTCAGCCTGGGATTTGACGAGTGTTGCTGCCTATAGGGCTGTAGCACTTGGGGCAGGGTGGTTTCCTGGCCACCCACCGAACTGAAGGGGCAGGGCTCCTCCCCGAGCCATCTTCCCCCCAGGCCTTATCAGCTGCCCCCGGCAGCCACCATGCCACCGGTCCCCAGCTTTTCTGCAGGCCCCTGACTCCCACCCATCACTGTCCTGCGAGCCCCTGACTCGCGCATGTGTTAGACTCCTTGGTCCGTGTTAGAGTCCTTGGTCCATGTTTCAAGATGGGTCGAGTGGGTGGCCGATATCGCCTCCAACCCCGTGCGCTCCGCTTCGTCCCGCCTCGGCTTTCATGAGAGCTCCCCTTTCCATTTGCAAGTTGAGGGGAGGGAGGCATCTCTGGGTGGAAAGTATCCTTAAGGGCAGCCATTGTGGGATAGAGCTCTAGCAGGGGTTCCACCCTGAAGTGTCTTTCCCACTCTCTTGCCAGCTTTTTAACCCTTTCCCAAGTATCCCAGGAGAATAGATTAGCTGTGGGGGCCCATGGGGCCAAGAGAGTCATAGTCTCCCAGACCTGGTTGGCTACAGAGTCTGAAATGTCTAGCCCTCGGCTCTTAAGCATATAATGCAATGCCTCCAGGGCTGGTTTATGCTTCTTAGAAGTTGCATTACCCATACTAAGGGTCTCACTCACCCCAAAAGACCGATTGGCCTCAGCCGGTATCTCTTTAGTTATCCTCACATGGGGCACCAGTTGCGGGGGTCCTTCCCTGCACACAGCATGATGGGGGCCAAGGAGGGGGAGTGCGCTGCCATCCTAACCCTCTGTTCCCGAGGCACCACCAAGGAGGCAGGGAGTCTTGTCTAACAGGAGCTCATTTATTATTAAGGCTGAACAATATTTAAAGGAAAAAACCACAAGCATAGCATAGGCGGGGAGGCCGGCATCCAATCAGCTTAGAGGTCACGTATTAGCACGTAGGCCCTTCTTGTAGCATAACTCAGTGTTCATGAGGTGATCATGCATCCTTCACTGGCTGAGCTACAATCAGTATTACTTCTCCTCCTATTGTTGCGTGCCAAGTTGGCTAGCTGGCTCGACCTTCACCTAAGCTGCTCAGCGCCATATTATTACCATACCTCCACACCTGCCTCTATGTAGACCAGGCTGGCCTCAAACTCACAGAGCTCTGCCTGCCTCTGCCTCCCAAGTACTGGGACTAAAGGTGTGTGCCACCATGCCCGGCAATAGAGGAACATTCTTAACCATTGATCCTTCCTACTTTCCTGAAGAATTATTAAGGCTGAACAATATTTAAAGGAAAAAACCACAAGCATAGCATAGGCGGGGAGGCCGGCATCCAATCAGCTTAGAGGTCACGTATTAGCACGTAGGCCCTTCTTGTAGCATAACTCAGTGTTCATGAGGTGATCATGCATCCTTCACTGGCTGAGCTACAATCAGTATTACTTCTCCTCCTATTGTTGCGTGCCAAGTTGGCTAGCTGGCTTGACCTTCACCTAAGCTGCTCAGCGCCATATTATTACCATACCTCCACACCTGCCTCTATGTAGACCAGGCTGGCCTCAAACTCACAGAGCTCTGCCTGCCTCTGCCTCCCAAGTACTGGGACTACAGGTGTGTGCCACCATGCCCGGCAATGGAGGAACATTCTTAACCATTGATCCTTCCTACTTTCCTGAAGAGACTGCTTAACTGCTTAGCTTTGGTAGGGAAATGGGGTCTGGAGGAGAGAGGCAGAGATAGCATCTTAAAAGTAGAGAGCATGAGCTTGGAAAGTTTTGGTTCCTGTGTGACAGTGAGCTTTAGGAGGTGGGGAGAAAAGAAATACAGAAATATGCACCCCAAATCAATCAGCTATGTTTTTGCAGAATAAGTTTGTTTGTCTGGGAACACAGGATGTGCTCAAATTGAGCCCCAAAATGGGGCTGGACCACCAACTCTGCCTCACCCTGACTCTTGTCTGCCTTCCAGTGCTGGGAGACCCTCATTGGCCAGGACATCTACCGGCTCCTCCTCATGGACTTTGTGTTTTCTTTGGCCGATTCCTTACTGGGGGAGTTTCTGAGGAGGTAAATATTAGTCAATCATGAGTGGCTGCAATCACAGCCTGATTCCTGG